AGAGAGAGCATGAGCGGGGGAGGGGCAGAGAGAGAGGGAGACACAGAATGGGAAGCAGGCTCCAGGCTGCCAGCTGTCAGCACAGAGCCTGACGTGGGGCCAAACTCACAGACCATGAGATCATAACCTGAGCCGAGTCGGATGCTCAACCGACTGAGCCACCCGGGTGCCTGGATGGCTCTTAAAACTAGCGGTTCTCAAAGTATGGTGCAAGGGACCCCTAGGGTCTCCCAAGACTTTGCATGCAGTCCACAAATCAAAACTACTTTTGTTATAATACTAAGATGTTATTACTCATTCTCTTATGGATGTGCACTGCAGTTTCACAGAGGTTAAATGATGAATGGTATCACAACAAACTGAATACAGAAGCAGATAGGAGGATCCAGCTTGCTTCTATTAAGCTAGACATTAAAGAGATTTTCAAAATGTAAAACAATGCCACTCTCCTCATTAAGTATCTTTTTTGTTTTGAAAAATGCAGTTACTTCTCATAAAGTTGTTATTTAGGCTAACACGTAATGCATCATTGATTGTTATTTTAAAATAAATGAATAAATGTTTTTTAAGTTACAGTTTTAATTTCTAACACACCAAATATCAATAGATATAATACACACCCAAAAGCTGTTTGGGATGTTCAGTATTTTTTTAAGACGGTTTTCCTGAGCCAAAAAATTTTAGAAGTCTTGTCCCAGATTTATTTTCCTCTATAAAAGAATCTTAGGGGATCTCGGGGCGCCTGGGTGGCTCAGTTGGTTAAGGGTCTGACTTCAGCTCAGGTCATGATCTCGTGTTCCGTGAGTTAGAGCCCCATGTAGGGCTCTGTGCTGACAGCTCAGAGCCTGGATCCTGCTTTGGATTCTGTGTGTTCCTCTCTCTCTGCCCCTCCCCCACTTATGCCTCCATTTCTTTCTCTCTCAAAAGTAAATGAACGTTAAAAAAATGTTTTTTAAGAATCTTTGGGGATCTCAGTGGGAACTCTTTTCTGGTTCCTGATCTGTGGTGCATTCCGAATCCATGTGATTTATAACCAACCAACTGCTTGCCCAGGTGGACAAATATATGGTGAAGCTCTTTGTCTATTCAAGAGCAAACAGTAATGGTTTCCATGAAGACTAAATAAAGAACTAGAAAAGCAAACTCTCAGAATTCCATTCAAGTAGCTGAGTCTAGTCAACACTGAAAGAGGAACAGATGGGGCATTATTAAAACAAAGATGTTTTAGGCAGGCATAATATGACACAATAAAAACAGCATTGTCCTTGAAGCAGGCCTTCTTGGAGTTAAGATTTCTATTTCTTGCTCTCTGTTTGGTCTTGGGCAAGTTAAACCTCTGGGCTATCATCTCCTCATCTAAAATTCATGTGTTCATTCATTTATTCACACATTTTATTATTTTTTCTTTTTTTATTCAACAAATACTGACTAAATATCTCCTTGGATCCAGACCTATTAAGTACTGGAGATACAGCGCTGAATAATTTAATTTTGACTGTGAGGTTTTCACAGTATATGAGCATAGAACATCAGTGTATTTAAATTATTTAAGTTACTCTGACTTAAAATAGCTCCGCATGTCCACAACTGTTTAAGTCTTTTGTTTGTTTGTTTTTACATTTATTTATTTTTGAGAGACAGAGAGAGACAGCACAAGTGGGGGAGGGGCAGAGAGAGAGGGAGAGAGAGAGAGAGAGAGAGAGAGAGAGAGAGAGAGAGAGAATCTCAAGCAGCCTCCAGGCTCTGAGCTGTCAGCACAGAGCTCTATGTGGGGCTCAAACTCATAAACCATGAGATCATGACCTGAGCCGAAGTCTGACGCTTAACCAAATGAGCCACCCTGGCGCCCCTCACAACTTGTCTGTATCCCACTAAGTATCTCTTCATAGCCCTTATCATCACATGACGTTTTATATGTTTCTGTATTTATTTTGGGGGGAGGATACTTATTATCTATCTTCCTCATCAAACCTTGAGTTCCAGGGATGCAGGGACTTTATCTTGTTGACCAATGTGTTTCCTGGCATATGGGTGACATTCAGTAAATATTTGTTGAATGAGTGAAAAAAAAAAGAAGGGGGGAGGGAGAAGAGGGTAAGTACATATATGGGGGGAAGAAAGAAGAAAGAGAAAGAAAGAGAATGTAGAGGAAAACAAATCAATATATTTATTGAAAAAGGAAGAATGGGGCACCTGGGTGGCGCAGTCGGTTAAGCGTCCGACTTCAGCCAGGTCACGATCTCGCGGTCCGTGAGTTCGAGCCCCGCGTCAGGCTCTGGGCTGATGGCTCAGAGCCTGGAGCCTGTTTCCAATTCTGTGTCTCCCTTTCTCTCTGCCCCTCCCCCGTTCATGCTCTGTCTCTCTCTGTCCCCAAAATAAATAAACTTTGAAAAAAAAATTAAAAAGAAAAAAGAAGAATGAGTTGCTGTTAGGTGAAGTTTTGGGGAGACAGAAAGTATTCTAGGCGGCAGGAAGAGCATCTACAAAGACATAAAGTATGGAATAACAAATGTGAGTTGTTCAATAAAGACAGCCGAAGGGGCGCCTGGGTGGTTCAGTCGGTTGAGCGTCTGACTTCAGCTCAGGTCATAATCTTGTGGTTCTTGAGTTCGAGCCCTGCGTCAGGCTCTGTGCTGACGCTTCAGATTCTGTGTCTCCCTCTCTCTCTACCCCTCCCCTGCTCACACTCCGTCTCTCTCTCTCTAAAAAATAAACATTAAAAAAAATAATAAAGACAGCTGAAATGTGTGATCTGTAGGCAAGGGGAGGCATGGAAGTGATGGGAAGTTCTAATACTTTCTGAATCTATCAAAGAATGAGTGGCTTTCTGTCACCCTTCTACATGACTACCTATATGATGTGGATCTTGACTGATAGATACGGTTTTTGTATGGGAAGGTTGTTAGCTGTTGAAAGGAAAAAACTCCATTGTTTCCCTTCTCCACACTCAATACTCTCACTACTTCACTTCTAGTCCCCAAATGTGTGGAGTTTTCTCTCCCACTGACCAATTCTCCAACACCAGCTGGTGTCCTACATTCAACTTCCTTCTGACACTATCTACTTGGAGAGATCCCACAAATTAAAGGGACCAGGCCCACAAGACTGCCACCTCACTTCAGACACCAACTGCAAGGCTAAGCTTCTGATTGGCTGTAAATTGGAGGGCCCCACGACCTCCTCCTCGGGTGTGGTAATTTGCTAGAATGGCTCACAGGACTCAGGAAAACAGTTTACTTACTAGGCTACTGGTTTACTACACAAGGGATACACCTCAGGAATGGCTGAGTGTAAGAGATGCATAGGGCAAGGTCTGTGGAAACAGGACAGAGAGTTTCCATGTCCCCTTGAGTCCTACCACCCACCCAGCACCTCCACATGCTCACCAGCCCAGAATCTTTCTGAACTCCAAGCTTCATACTTTAGGGATTTTTATGGGGGCTTCCTTATTTAAGCACCATTGATGGAATCTTTGGCCATTGGTGACTTAATCAACCTTCAACCCGTCTCCCTTCCTGGAGGTTGGAGGGCAGGCTGAAAGTTCAACCTCTCTATTCACACAGTTGGTTTCCCTAGCAACCAACCCTCTCTCTCTCTCTCTCTCTCTCTCTCTCTCTTTCTCTCTCTCTCTCATCGAAGGGCTTTCCAAAATCCTTTTCAGTAACATAAACTCAGACACTGTTGAAAGGGGATCTTTGTGAATCACAAAAGACACTCCTTTTACCTTTATGCTCTGGAGCTATTTCAGGAACCAGTATAAAAGAACAAAAGATGCCCTCACTTCTCAGATTACTTAGGAAATTACTAAAGTTTTAGGAGCTGTGTGTAGAAGAGGGAGACCAAGTTTATATTTCTTATAAATCACAATATCACAGGCATCATCTAACAATGTTGATAACATCGTTATTATGATTATGGCTAATGCATAATGAGTCCTTACTAAGTGAAAAGCACTTGACCTATATTATCTTCAAACAACTTCATGAATCAGAGACTATTATGAATTCCCGGTTTCATAGATAAGGACATTAATGCAGGGAGGGTCTATGGGACCTTCCCAAAATAAGTGTCAGAGCTGAACTATGACGGCAAGTGTCTAAGAAGGCTCTCAATGATCTTTACCTTGGGACATTCCCAACCTTGTATAGTTTCCCCTCATATTCAAATCAGAGCTGATTCTGGGGCACCTGGGGGGCTCAGCTGGTTAAGCATCTGACTCTTGATTTCAACTTAAGTCATGATCTCATGGCCTGGTCATGAGATCAAACCCTGAGTCGGGCTCTGCCCTGAGTGAGGAGCCTACTTAAAATTCTCTCTCTCTTTCCTTCTCCCACTCGCATTCTCTTGCTCTCTTTCTAAATAAATAAAATAAAATCAGAGTTGATCTGATTACAATCAATAGAGCATGGTACAAGCGATTGTGTATGACTTCAGAGGCTAACTGAACTCAAGGGGTTCGTCACCATCGTATTGAAAACAAAGAACTTTGTATTGTTACAAGTAAGGAGACAGCTCTCAAAACACTGCCCAGCCTTGGGGTTTGTACAGGAAGCTTTTATTCAGTGTATTAGGGGCAGGGGGCAGGGAGCCTGCATAGACTCTTTGGTTCAATTGCATATGCCTAGAAGGTCAACATGTTAGTATATACATACATCATGTGTTCAAAAAATGGCTACAAAGTGCCCATAGGAGGAGATCTTATTGTAATGAGCTAAAGGTAACTTTAGGACAAATGAAGGGGACTTCTGTAGAGATCCTCAATCCAATCTGGCTTAAACTGGCTCATGGAAAGGGCTAAATGGCGAAATACCCGATTGGATGTCTCCTGCTGATTCTACAAAACAAAACACATTCCTTCCCTGCTTTTGCCCCTTGCCCTCCTCCTTTCTGCTGGTAGCTTTCAGCCCTCTTATTTGAGTAACTTCCCATTGTGTCCCAGCTACCAAGTACAGCTTCAACCTTGATCTTTTGTTTTTTTAATTAAAAAAAATTTTTTTTAGGTTTATTTGGAGAGAGAGCAAGAAGGGAAGGGGCAGAGAGAGGAAGAGACAGAATCCCAAGGAGTCTCTCCACAGTCTCTGCAGAGCTCAGTTGTGGGGCTTGAACTCACAAACCCATGAGATCATGACATGAGCTGAGATCAAGATCCGAAAGCTTAGCCAACTAAGCCACCCAGGCACCCCTCAACGTTGATCTTTTGAATTACTCACTTTGGATGAAACCAGTTGCTATGCTGTGGTCAAGCAGTTCTGTGAAAAGAAACTGAGATCTCCCATGAAGAGCCAGCACCAACCAAATGAACACCTTGGAAGTAGATTTGCAACCAGGGTCAAGCCTTCAGATGACGTCAGCCCCAAACATGGACATCTGACGGTAACTTCACGAGAGACCCCAAGCCAGAACTGCCCAGCCAAGCCACACCTAAATTCCTGACCCACAGAAATACATACGAGAATAAATGATTACAGTTGTGTTAAGCCACTAAATTTTGAAGCAATTTAATATGTAGAACTAGATCATTTATACAATTGGGATCAGAACTCAGATTTGTCTGACCTGAGAACCATATCTCTTACTATTTTTTCCCCCCTTACTACCTATGTTATAAAATAGCTTGTCTTGCTGAGTGTGACTCAAACAGTAGCCCCAGGAGTAAAGTATGGAATCCAGGAGAGTATTTGATTCTAAAACCACTCAATATGCCCCAGTTAGAAAGCTAACAATTGTACCTTCAACCTTCAACTCCAAATAAAAGGTTGTTTTCCTAATTTGTCATTGAGATTGATTTTTTTTTTTTAAGTTTCAAGGGGCCATCTTGAGTATATACATTTTTACTGAAGCAGAAGACAATTTTAAATGCTTACTTATACAATGTCACCTATTAAATCTGCTGTGTATATTTTAAATTAATACTATGTAGAATAATGCACTGGCTTATAAATGTTATTTAACAAATCAACCATTTTATCCATACGTTCCGTATGCATCTTTTACATCCCTGCTACAAATACCCATGGATCAACAGCATTGGCATGCCCTGAGAACTTGCTAGAAATGCAAAATGCCCCAGACTGCCTTGAATCAAAATAGGCATTTAAAAAATTTTTTATTTATTTTGAGAGAAAGAGAGAATGAGAGAGAGTGTACACGTGCATGTGGGGGAGGGTCAGAGAGAGAGAGAGAATCCCAAGTAGTCTCTCTGCTGACAAGTGCAGAGCCCGACGTGGGGCTCGATCTCATGAACCATGAGATCATGGTCTGAGCTGAAAATCAAGAGTGGGATGCTTAACCACCTGAGCCACCCGGGTGCCCCCCAACTACACATTTTAACAAGATTCCTCAAGTCGTCAGTGTGCACACTAAAGTTTGAGATGCACTGATCTACAGAACCATCTTGTCATCACTTGTGTCATCTGTTTTCCAGAATACATAATCTTCACTGCCATGTAAACTGCTTGCAATATAACATGCTTTGAACCTCCGATGATGTTATGGTGGATACTGCTCATTGCTCTCCCACCAGCCCTCCCCCTTCCCCCAACTGTGGAACTCCAGTTGTGTTTGGGTAGACCGATGGGCTCCGATAGAAAAAACTCAGCTTCCCGGATTTCTTTGCAGCTAGACTTGACCACATAGCACAGTTTAACTTCTGACCCACGAGAGGGAAGCAGAAATTAAATGCTGGCTGGGTCTTTAGGAAAATTCTTTATGAAAAGGGAACTCTGTTGGCATGCCCTTTTTTGACTTTCTCTTCTAGTCCTAACCCTTCCTTGTATTTCTGCCCAAAATGTGGATGAGCACCGGGGGAGGTGGAGCTGTTGTCTTGTAATCACAGGGACTAAAAACACAGTGGAGCCGGGGAAGGAAAAGTGAAAAGGAGCCCAATGGGTTGGCTGCCCTGCCTCATGTGGATTTAGTCTGCTTATGTCTGAACTTCTTGCCATGTGGAAAGAATTCAGTCCTTTTTTGATTAAGCCATTGTAGTCAGGCTTCTGTTACATGCAGCTGAACACAATCCAGAAGCAAGTCACAAGCCCATGTTCACATAACAGCAGGCCCGTATTGTTCTGCATTCCTTCTGTAGGTGTGTATTTCCCTGCTTGCCAAAATTTAACCCCTCACTATACTGCTCTTAAAAGTAATTTTGGGGGCGCCTGTGTGGCTCGGTTGGTTGGGTGTCCGACTTTGGCTCAGGTCATAATCTCACTGTTGGTGGGCTCGAGCTCGCATCGGGCTCTGTGCTGACAGCTCAGAGCCTGGAGCCTGCTTCGGATTCTGTGTCTCCCTCTTTCTCTGCCCTCCCCCCCCAAGCTCTGTCTCTGTCTCTCTCAAAAATAAATAAACATTAAAAAAACTTTTTAATTAAAAAATAAAAGTAATTTTGGGGCCCCTGGGTGGCTCAGTCAGTTAAGTGTCTGATCCATGGTTTGGCTCAGGTCATGATCTCATAGCTCATGAGTTGGAGCCTCATGTCCAGCTTTGTGCTGACAGTGTGGAGCCTGCTTAGGATTCTCTCTCTCCCTCTTGTAGCAGGATTCTTGCACAGAGAGTCGTGACACCGAGGCTTTTCTTTCCAGGAAGCAACTTAATTCCTGCCGGTACCACCCAGATGGGTTAGTACCCAAAGAACTGAGCCCTTAACGCCATGTGGCCATTGTTTACTTCTTTGTCTCCCACATACAATAACACACAAACATGTAGTCTGATTAAGTGGTCTCATGTTACAAGGTTGCGAGGGCTGTTGTCAAGTACACAAATAGCAAGGTTGCCTTGAGGTTTGTTTTTTTATTTCCTTTCCTTAGGGAGGGTACCCTAACACACTCTCTCTCTCTTCCCCTCTCCCACTCACATTCTCTCTCTCAAAAATAAATAAATTTTAGAAAAAAGTTTATAGGAAAAAACCAAAATAAAACGTTGTTTATAAGAATGTTTAATTGTAACTGTGGTGATATACCAGGAATAATGACTAAAGCTATGTTAATTTATTTTCTTCCTTTGTTTTTAACTGAGTCGATCAGGTGACCTCTATAAGCAGCCAAAATTAGCATGGCTTGAGCGCTTACCCAAATAATACTTTGTTTTCCAAAGTGGAACAGCTGAATTACGACTTTAAAATAGAAAAACTTCATGAAAGCTTAAATGTAAGGCCACTTCCTCTTTTCTGATAATCCTTAACTTCTACTTAGGCATTGAGAAGCATCAGAATAAATCTGGGTATCTGGTAGTCTGAATCTAGGTACAGTCAATATTATGGAGGTTGACCTGAGCCCTTAAGGTCTTCTCTCTTTCTAGCCAGGGCAGCTTCCTTGGGGATGGGAATTAAAGGTAGAGTTAAAAATGGAAAAATGCTAAACATTAATTTTTTTTTTTTTTTTTTAAGTAAGGGGGTACTTGGGTAGCTCATTCGGTTAAGCGTCTGATCTCATGGTTTGTGGGTTCAAGCCCCGTGTCAGGTTCTGTGCTGGGAGCATGGAGCTTGCTTGGGATTCTGCCTCTCCTCTCTCTGCCCCACCCCTGTTCATGCTGTCTCTCTCTCTCTCAAAATAAATAAACATCAAAAAAATTTTTTTTTTAATGGAAAAATGCTCTTGGAGTTTGGGATAAAAATCCTAAGGCAGAGGGAGATTTCTAGAGAAGCAGTTGAATTCACTTTATGGGCACAAGAGCCCTATTTATGGTGTGTTTTGAAACATGGTGTAGAAGAGGCTGGATCTTCATTTCAACATAAAGTGAACTGAACAGAAAATTCTAGAAGAATGGGAGTTTCCTCCCAGAGACTGGATTTTGGGTTTCCAGAGTAGCATGACATGGGACTGCAATTATTCACTTGGGTGTTAATAGACAAGTTGACCCTAGAACACTGGAGGTTTGGAAAGGACTGAGGTTTCATCTGGAAAATCACCTAGCACATGTGTCTAGCATATGGTAGATAGCCACCACAGGCTTGTCAAATGTGAACACATTCATTCGACTATACCCAAGCTAGGTTCAATACAGTATAAAAGCTTATCGGGAATGTAAATCAAAACAAAATCCTGTCAAGCCAAGTGTTCTGTATAAATCTCCAGAATTGAATTCAAGATTCCGAACGAACACTTAAGGAGCCTCTGCTTTGTGCCACGCACTGTGCTCGGAATTTTCACGTGCATGTTCACCCACTCCTTGCAACAGTCCTTGCCTTAGAGGTTTCCTCTGCTCAGTTGGCTAAAACAGAAGCCCCACTGCTACACTTGGCAAGGTCCTGTGTTGCTCAAGCCCAGGATGTTCTACCCCTGCAGAGGAGCTGACCCACTGGCTCTGAGCATGTATTCCATGTCTCCCTCTCCCCAAAAGGCTTCTGCATAAGAGTGAATTATTTGTGGGGCGCCTGGCTGGCTCGTTCAGTAGAGCATGTGACTCTTAATCTTAGGGTTGTAAGTTCAAGCCCCACATCGGGTGTAGAGATTACTTAAAGATAAGAAAAATCTTAAAAAAAAAAAAAAAAGAAGAAGAAGGAAGGAGTGCCTGGGTGGTTCAGTTGGTTAAGCATCTGACTTCAGCTCAGGTCATGATTTCATGGTTCGTGGATTCGAGCCCCACATCGGGCTCTGTGCTGACAGGTCAGAGCCTGGAGCCTGCTTCCGGTTCTGTGTCTCCCTCTCTCTCTGCTCCTCCCCTGCTTGTGCTTTGCCTCTCCCTCTCAAAAAAATAAACATTAAAAAATTTTTTTCTAAAAGATTGAATTGTTCAATTCTCTGTAGGGCTGTGCATTCCTACTCAAGAACTACATTTACTGGAAAACAGGATGGAGGTTCCTCAAAAAATTAAAACTAGAACTACGCTACGACCCAGCAATTGCACTACTAGGTATTTATCCAAGGGATACAGGTGTGCTGTTTCGAAGGGACACATGCACCTCCATGTTTTTAGCAGCACTATCAACAATAGCCAAAGTATGGAAAGAGCCCAAATGTCCATCGAGAGATGAATGGATAAAGAAGATGTGGTATATATATACAATGGAGTATTACTTGGCAATCAAAAAGAACGAAATCTTGCCATTTGCAACTATGTAGCTGGAACTGGAGGGGATTATGGTAAATGAAATTAGTCAGAGAAAGCCGCATATCATATGACTTCACTCATAGGAGGACTTTAAGACACAGAACAGATGAATACAAGGGAAGAGAAGCAAAAATAATATAAAAAGAGGGAAGGGGACAAAACATGAGTCTCTTAAATATGGAGAACAAACAGAGGGTTAATGGAGGGAGTGTGGGAGGCGGGGTGGGGTAAATGGGTAAGGGGCATTAAGGAATCTACTCCTAAAATCATTTTGCACTATAGGCTAACTAACTTGGATATAAATTTAAAAAATAAATTAAATAAAAATAAATAAAGTAAAAAAAAAAAGATTACATTTATGCCTGAAACGACTAACACCCTTCACTAATTCCACATCTTTCCACTGAAAGAGCAATAGCATATTAATTTCACC